GGATGTTCTAATCAATATTATATTTAGAACGTCAAAGAGATTGAGACTTTTAATACTTGGTGGTCACAGACCTCATAGTATTCTCAACAACAAGAGGCTAATCAAAATCCTTTGCGAATCGATTGGAATAGAAAGAAAACTTCTTCTGTATGGACTGGATTCGTTCAAGCAGCTGAGAAATCAACAGGAGAGCCTATAATATGCTATAAAAAGTGCGACCGAGCTTTAAAGCATCCGAAGCTAAAGGCTTCTGGAACGAAAGCATTAGCCGATCATCAGAAAACGGATGTTTGCAAACGCGTCGTAAGTAGGCCAAAACAAAAGCTTCGGCAAACTCAATTAGGATCTAAATCTCCTCAACGCAATTTAGTACGTTTGTTTTTATTTATAAATTCGGTTAATAAATCTAGTAAATCTGATTAGTAAATCTGATTAGTAAATCGGATTAGTAAATCTAATTAGTAAATCTAATTAGTAAATCTGATTAGTAAATCTGATTAGTAAATCGGATTAATAAATCTGATCAATAAATAATAAAACTAATATCCAATAGACACATCTATCACGAGGAACGCTTTCGCATCAAGACTTAAAATCAGCATTTCGAAAAGGTGTTTTAGATGTTATATTATCTACGCGAAGCTCGTTTCGAATAGTTAATAACCCGGATTGGAAATCTCTTTGCGAATTACAAAACCCACATCTTAAGCTCCCTAGTGCTTCAACTATTAAGCGAGACCTTGACGATAGGATTCTAGAAATTAATCGCCATCTACTAGACAATTTACCAGCCAATCAAAAACTCAGCATTTCACTAGACTATTGGTCTAGCACTAAGCGCTATTCTTTCATGTGCATAATCGGAACTGCAATTACAAAAGATTAGCATATGATTCAGCTTATGCTTAGATTTATACACGTTGAGTTCAATCATACAAGAGAAGAATTAGCAAGAATTATTCACGAACGCCTTACTAAATTAGGCTTAACAGAAAGGATAATCGCGATTACAACGGATAACGCATCTTCGAATAACACAATGATAAAAGAGTTGCCTAAATGCGTCGAAGATGCATTTGAGAAAAAGCTTTTTATAAGCCAAGAGATTCCACACGTTCCGTGTATAGCTCACGTCTTGCAATTATCTCTTAAAGCGTTGCTCGGACCGCGATTATCGCCAACGAACGAAAGCTTAGAAAAGCATTAGGAAGAAGATTCTGATATAAACGAGCTAAAAGGAGCAAGAAGACGCGATAAACGAAGGATTGCATATACACTTGCGATTGTAAGTTTTTTTTTTTAAAAAAAATATTTACTAATCATATTTACTAATCATTGATCAACGTACTTAAGTTCGGAAGTTTGTCAAGTGTGTTACGGCTAGCCAACCTCGAAAATCGCGATTTAATAAAACGATAAAAGCTTTTATCGACGATTCAGAGCATCCTTTAACGAAAAGCTTAAAGCTTGTTTTAAATGTTGTTACAAGATGGGATTCTACATTCTATATGCTTAATCGATTTATAACTCTTAAAGATGTTATTCAAAGACATTGTACAGAGATCGATGAGATAAGTATTTTCAAATTATCTAATACTCAATAGAAGCAAATCTTATAGCTAATCGATATCCTTCGACCGTTTCACCTTTTAACTATGCACTTAAGTGAAGAGCTTAGTCCTACTATTCAATACGGATTTTTAATGTTCGATGAAATATTCGAACGTTTAAATGAAGCACAAGCACGATTAAAGTCTGAATATATAAAGA